GGGGCGTACTCTTCATAGATGATCCAACGAGCTTGGTGTTGCAGTTCCTCGTCTGTAGGGACGTGACAGTTGGGGTTGTTGGGCGACATGGCACTGGCTACATATTTCTTTAGTTCGCGAGCGAGGCGCTGGTAGCAGTTTACGTCTCCCAAAAGGTTGGCTCTGAAGCCTGCTGGGGGGGAAGGGGTTGAGATTGACCCTGACCCTGACCCTCCCCCTGATCCTGACCCTGATCGTGAAGAGGACGAGTTGGAGATGGACGGGATGCGAGTCCGCCCTGCTGGATCGGACACGTCGAGCTGGAGCTGCAATGGATTCGGGAACATGGACTCGTGGGAGAGATCCAATGGCACGTAGGCGCTGCTGTCGTTGGTGCCGTTGCCAAAAACATGTCTGTTTTTGAAGGCGGCAAGCCAAACCGCGTCGTCGGCGGCTGTTTGGTTCCAGCCGTCATCATACTCGAAGATGATGACACGAGCGCGTTTTTGCAGGTCGTCGTCACTGGGAACAAACCCCTCCCCGAAGAGGGAGCGTTGCTCGCGGACGTATTCGGCCAGTTCGAATTCCAGGCGGGATGGGTTGTGGATGCCGGCGTCGATCTTCTTGGGGTCTTTGGACCGTTGAGGAACGTCGACGACGTCTTCTGATCTTGGGAGATGGGCGCGAGCTCGGAAGCAAGTTAGCCAGGAGGTCGAGGCGTAGATGAGGCGGGTGAAGAATTGGACAATATCGGAGGAGGGGTCGGAAGAGGACTCGTCCATGCGGCGGATGATGTTGACTGCTTCCGACTGCAGCTCTCTGTCCATGGCTGTCAGGCCTAGGAGGCGGCGGGCTTTGACATAGACTTCGAGCTCCAGCTCCAGCGGATCCAGCTCAAAGATGTCACCCTTGCCGGTGATCTTGAGTTGCTGGAGAGAGGACTTGTAGGAAGGGCGGGTAGGCCGGTCGGACGGTGCTGCCAGCAACAAATCTTGAAGCCAAGACCCAGTTGAACCGACGCAAGGCCTCGAGATGGTCCTGGTCTTTTCCAGCAGGGCGCGAACCACACTCAGCAGCTCCCCGTCAGACGGGGCCTCCTGACCTTGTGGTCGGTCATCAATGTAAGCCCTCAGCTCTGCCTTGATGAGTTCATACGCGTTTTTGGCAGCAAAAGGGGGGTGGGACGCTTCGAAAGGATCCGGCGAGTTTCTCTCGTCGTGGATCAAGAACGGTGGAATCGAGTTCTCGACCATGTCCAACACCTTGTCTTCGAAACCCCAATCACCCTTCCAGTCAGCCATGGATTTACCGCGCTTGAAGTGCTCGGCGAGGTGGTCGGTACGGAAGGACCATGTGTCCATCACGATGCCGCAGAAACCACACCTTGAACGAATCTCTGGAGTCGTCACCTTCCACCCTTCCATGCTCTGGCTGCGATAGGCGGCGTCATGGACAAGCTTCAAATGTTGGCGAAGGTGGTCCTTCCGGTAGAACGTCCTCTCCGCCAGTGCGCGCTCTTGGCAGGCAGAGTGATTGTGGCTGTCGATGTGAGCCTCGTCGGGGTTGGCATGCCCGCAGAAAACGCATTGCATCTGGTCACTCTCAGCGTTGAAGGTGACCGGCCCATCGGGGGAGCACACCCAGCGCTCCAGAGACAGATGCAGAGACTTCTCATGTCTCTGCCAGTCGTGCTTGGTTCTGAAAGTCTCGGTGCAAAAAGTACACTGGAACGTCTTCAGGGGCTGTCGTAGAGGTGTGCTGTTGGTCATATTAGCAGCAGCGGGCGCAGCAGCCTTTCTCCTTCTCCTCCTCCGACCCCGGTGCATGGAGGACCCTCCCGACCCGAGCGAGCCACGAGAGCCATAAGAGTAGGCCGAAGCAAACGACCCGCTAGAATGAGATGTATTGGCACTGGAGATGGCAGAGTCGCAGATCGATCTGCCTGACCCATCGTCGGTGAAGTGGACACTGCTGTAAGGGCTGCTGAGGCCCGACTGCAGGGTCGAAGACGTGCTGATGGCACGTTGAATAGCTGTGACGGAGGCCGGTTCATTTTCCGGCGGAGATACCTGCCAACGCTGAAGGGGATTCATGAGCTCAAAAGACGCGGCACCTCGTCTTCCGGCAATGTCGATAGGTTTGGTCCACGTCCTCACGCCCGGTGAGGTGGACCGCTGGGCAACAGCGTTCTTGTTTCTGCGTCGGGTGTTGGCAAGCCAGTTGGTGATCTGGGTCTTGCTAAGACCTGTCTGCTTCTGTAACATCTCCTTCTCCTCTTCGGTAGGATAAGGATGCCTGCTGTGAGTCGAGAGCCAGTTCTTTAGGATCTTCAGTTCTTCTCTGGAGAACCGAACACCAGTCCTGGTCTTGGAGGTTGCCCGAGCAGGTTCAGACGTGGTGTTCTCGGTTGCGGCAGCAGGCTGGCTTCCGCTCAGGGCAGCCCCAGCATGGGCTTCCTCCTGCGGGATACCCATAGGGTGGTCGCCCATGATGGGCCAAGGATTGGAAGGGAACCCGACGGCGCGGCCAGCACCGGTGGTCTCGGCAAAGCTGCATTCAGAGCACAGGGCAATGCAGCTGGTGCAATAGCCCTTGTACTGACCCTCTGGAATACGCTTGCACTGATAGCCTCCAAGCTGACAGTTGGTGCACGGGACGTCGGGGAGGTCCAGATCTTCTTCGAACGGCCCGGTTCTGTCGAGACCTTTAAGGCCAATGCAAGTGTTTGCGTCTAGCGTCCCGTCGAGTGTAGGCGAGATGTTGTTCTCAAAGTGCTCCAATGCCCAAAAGGAGAAGTCATCCCCCTCTGCATTCTCCAGGGCGAGATCGAGGTCCTGCAGATGTTCAGTGGCTCCAACTGCTCCAAGAGCAGGCACGGTGGCCATGTTGGCCGACGAAGAAGTAAAGTCCGGGCCCTCCCCGGTAGTTGGGAGGGCGGCCATATCCCAGTTGACATATTCCTCCATTTCTGGTATCACTGGCATCCGGAGAAGGACAGGAAAGGGCGCGAGGGGGGGAGCCCCGTCTCTTCGTGAAGTGACAAGGCAAAGGCCGGGTTAAACCGAGCTGTCAAGAAATGTCAGATCAAGGGCGTGCTTAGTGCCATTGGCACCATCGATATAAACATATGCCTCTGTCCCTCATCCTCTCTCATAAGAAAGTGTATGTACTAACATGTAAAATATCCGGCGTGGAGTCGAGTCAAGGTCAATGTCAGTCCAAGTCCCAACAGTCATCCGTCAGCAAAAGGCGTAAGTAAGTCAATGGCAATGAAACAAAAGACAACTGCTCATGTAATTCAGGAAGAAACAGAAAAAGTCCCCGGGAACTACTTTTTATTTAGATGCCCCCCCTCCCCAGAGACGAGTTCCACCAGCTTCAACTGGTTTCGTCTTCCTCCAAAAAGAGTCACTCTTCAAGGGTTCGTATCAGTGAAAGCGAGGCTTGCTCTCCGTCCCGCATCAAAGACCCCTGCCGAAATGTGGGACATGCACGCCTTTCGATTGACATGAACATGGGGTTTGACACCCCTGTCACCGCCCACCCGACTACCAAAGAGGCTACCCCGCCAAAGACCACCACCCTCCCCTCCCGCTTCTTCAACCACTTATTCAAGATATCTCTATACACTGCTCGGTCGGTAGTCGTCATGCAGATCCCCAAAGTCTACCTGTTCTTTCTCTAGATAACAGCTCTTCTTTTCGTTCCTTCTTCCTTCCCTCAGCTTCTGTCCTCATCTCTGTGAAAACATCTGCCTAAAAGCCTTGCAGCTCTGGATCAGGCAGCTTAAACCCGGATTTTACCTACAAGTAACCAATCGAGCGGCCCGATATCTTGTCCCTTTCTTCACATCGGCAAAGTAGCTATGGCATGATTCTTATTTCTATCTTTCCAGACCTGCTCGTGTGCCATCATCACAAGCAGCAAACGGGAAAAATGCACCATGCATTAGTCACCCCTCCTCGGTATTCAGGTTACACCGTCTGATGCCTCCTCACTGCCTTTTCTTTATGCCCTCAACCTCGAGATCCTGCCGTGTAACCGCCTCCAACTAGCGATGTTATAGACTCTCCGGCTCCGGAGCCCCCAATTCCACCACCAAAGCTTCCAGAAGTTCTGGAACTCCATGTGAAGAACCGCTAGAAGCCGCTTGTGGCCGTCCGGCTTCCACGACTTATCAGACTCTCAAGCTAATGATAAAGGAACAAATTTCCCAATTCATCGCCGCGATTGTTATATATACATATGTTTATGCTATTCCGAGCACCAAGAACCTGAGTTCAGATCCGATAACCGGCTCTCGTCCGGAAGGTGGGGTGCTAGCCGCCGTTGATGCAGAAGTGCTGCCACATGCCACCATTTTGAGATTGAACAGTAAGCGAGAAGAGCTCTGTCACAAACTATAAGATAATAGGAAGAGATGTAGGAAAATTGAGAAAAAGTCAAAAAAGGAAAAAAGCGCAAAAGATAGTGCCCAATAACAGGATTGAACTGTTGACCTTCGCATTACTTGGTACTGTTTCCAGTATTAGTACGACGCTCTAACCAGCTGAGCTAATCGGGCTTTGGGTTTTGATGGAAGTTTTAATCTGGCTTTGGTTACAAGTTGGGTGGGTTTGGGTAGCTTGGGTGCTGGCAACATCAGCCTTATATTATCATCACAGTCTCTACCTCTATCTCACTGTCCACAGTGTGTCTTCCTTTTGGAAGACATACTCTCGAATAAAGACTAGTACTACGCATTAAGCTAACGCAGCACTCCATGTAGCGTCATCCTCAGCCACGCCTCGAAAGATAGTCGGGACTCCTTCAACGATATTCAATAGGCCTTCAAAAAAATAGTCAAGATTCCCATCAAATGATCGAGGGGGGGTTTCTTGAAAAATAATTAACAGCTGTAAGAAAAGGAGCCAATGGGCCTTTGAAGATGGTCAACAGGTCTTTAACAACTACTCAATACCCCCTTAAAAACAGTCCATCCACACATCATCTCGATCACCCTTCACAAACACGTCCAGAAGTTCGGGCCCGAATTTTGCAAGCACCCTCCCCACTTAACCATCCGTCCCACCAACCAATCACACGCCCCCCATTCAGCACAAAGCCAGCCCGCCCCACAAACAAAACTCGCTTGTGAACCAGTCCCGACCACCTCTTGTTTTTGCAACCCCAACATTTAACCCGTTTCTCACCACTTTTCCGCTAATAACAACTCTCACCCACCCACCCACTCACTCGCTTATACAATAGAATACAAAGTTCACTTGTTGTTCCAATCAATCAATCAATCAATCCCAGCCCCCTGTCCTGTTCAACTCTTGGCATCGCTCTTCCCTCTTCCCCCCCAAGACTTTAACATGCCCTGGGGCGCAGAGATTGACGCGTCCGAATCCGTCTCTGATTCGAACGACGAAGGGGGTGGTCTGGATCATTCGGATGAGGGGGAGGATCACCAAGACAATAATAATACCCAGCATTTGGCCAAACGGAGACGTGTGGGAGAAAATCATCTTCATCCATCCATGGAGGGGAATGGGAATGTAGCTCCTGTTGCTGGGATGGGAGGAGGGGGGGTTGTTGATCCGAGTTTGGGTGGTGGTGGTGGAGGTGGAGGTGGAGGAGGAGGAGGGAATGATGGAAGGGTGCCTCATTTCAAGCCTGGGTTACCTGATCCTGACGATAAGGGGGAGAATGACTGTTTTTTTGAGGATTGCCAGACCAGGGCGGGGGGGAATCAATATTTTATGTGAGTGGGTGTTTTTTTTAAAAAAAACAATCTTCTCTTTTTTTTCTTCTCTCTTTTTTTTTTCTTCTCTCTTTTTTTCTTCTTTTTTTTTCCCTTTCTTTATTTCATATCCCTCTTCTTAATATCTTTTTCTATCTTCTTTTCCTTTCATCGTTTCATTTCGAAAAGAAAAAGAGCAAAGGGGGAGACGTTGCTGACATTGAGAAAGCAAGCACCTGATGGACAAGCACGGCCTTATCAGGGGTGACCAAGGGCGTCAAGAAGGCGGACGAAGGAAGGCGCCCAAATATCTGGCCGTATGCCCTACCAACTGGCCGTTTAATTACGGCACCAGCTCGTCATGTGGGCCTTGTTCCGATATCACCACACTGCTCAACGTTGTGGGAGAGCACAACCACGAGTCGCCCGCCATCTGCTCCTTCTGTTGGACTTATTTTGGAGATAGGGCAGGGCTTGCCGCGCACATCAACCAGGGCCCTTGTCGGAGTAACGAGGGATTTAGCAGAAAGCTGACTCTGATCAGGCACATGTTTGCTACCGCCCTGAGAATACCGGACGGCCCTGAGTTGGCGAAGCAGTCGGAAGGACAGAGGAGGGCCCATGCAGAAGCGGAGAGGGCGGCGAGGGCGGAGAAATACGCCGCGGAACAGTTGGCGGAGCAGGAGTGGAGGAATCAGCAGCAGGCGCAGAGGAGGCAAAGGCAGCAGAGGGGAGGGTCGCCTCCGATGGTGGCTGCTCCGGCGCCGGCGGTGCAGGCGGTTGTGGTGGGGAACAACAGGAGGAGGACTACTGGGGCGGTTGCAAATGGTGCTCTACAGGGACAGCAGCAGCAGCAAGTGGTCCAACAGCCGGGCTTTCATGGGAGTCCCATGGGTCAGCAGTTTGCTATCTCGGCGGGTGGGGGAATTGATGGGTTGCCTGGGTTAGCTCAACAAGCCGCCGGAGTCTCACCGGGCGCGGCGCCGGACTATGTGGTGCCTGCGGCCACGGCGGAGGCGATGGCGAGGAGTATCGAACGGCTTTCTGGTATCATAGGGGACCTCACGGCGACGAACTCGCAACTATTGCAGGAATTGCGGTCACGGGACCAGCACATATCCAACCGGGACATACAAATTCGGAGCAGGGAGGAACGGATCAACGCGTTGTCGGCTGAAAACAAGAAGCTCTCGGCTGAGGTGGCAAGGCTCACGGCCATCGCAAGCGGACAGTTGGGTATTGATGGCGCCGGTGGTGTGGTTATGGGCGGCGACAGTGGTTTGGACCAGGGCGAGCCGATGGAGGACGCCGAGGAGGTTTAAGTTTGGTGGTGGAATTGTTTGCCACGGGAGTAATAATGTTATTGATACCCGGTTTTTGTTATTGTTTACTTCTTGTAGCCTCTTGTTGAGGTTTAATATGGATTCGTTGAGGTAGTCTGTTTGAGTATCGGTGAGAAAAGTTGTCTGGTTTGATTGACGAATGGCTTGAAGAGGTTGCTCATACCTGTTTTGACTGTCTTTTTAAGTGTGTCTACTATTTTTTGAGTTGGAGCTATTATTCATTCTGAAAGGCGTGTCTAATATTTTCGAGGTCTATTTATTATCTTTCAAACCAAGCATAGCTTATTCCTAGCTTTTATTATAGACACGGACAAGTTTGCCGCGGTGGTCTACCTCTCCGTGACATCCTTATTCTGTCTGGCAGATAAGAATGTAGGTAAGGTTATCGTGATATCTGAGCCAAAGTGGAGGAAGCATGCAAAACCCCACAACTCCACCAGTACCACCCCAAAAAAAAACCAAAAAAAAAAAAAACCCTCACAGTACCCGTGTGATAATATATGCAAAAAATAATCGCTTTGATTTCGTCCAGGCTCGAACTGGAGACCTTCAGTGTGTTAGACTGACGTGATAACCAACTACACCACGAAACCAATTGGTTGTTGTTGACTTCTTCACCAGAACTAGCCCTGTTGATGCTGGAGTTCATCCTGCTTGGGTATACTTTCCTACTTTTGACAACTTGCAACCGCCGTCGCAATTCTACCCACTGCCAACGACCCCTCGCTGTCCATTATTACTAACTCCAAGAAGTGTGCATCTACTCATCCATCTGCCAAGCATACTCCAACCCCTTCACCATCTCCTTCCTATTCAGTATCCTAAACCTCTCCTTCTCCCACCCGTTTCCCCTATCAACCCCATCCCACCTATACCCCGGCCTTATCCCATATCGATTCGGTTCCGCCGGCCCTTGATACACCGGCCTCCCCTTACCCCTTTTCTTCCTCCCCTTCCCTCCCTTATCCCCCTCCAAAAACAGCGCCATGGGATCGTTCCACCTCCCCTCCTCCCTCTGCTCCCGATTGATCCCCTCATCATCCTTCCCCCTCGCAAGCGTCATCAACTTCGCCCCCTCCAACCTCTCCCTCCTCATCTCCGCCTCCCTAGCCTGCACCTCCCCCTTCAAAAGCGCCTCCTTCTCCTGTTCAGCCCTTTCCCTCTCCAACATCTCCCTTCGTGCCTGCGCCCTCCTCAAGCTGACATCAATCCTCCTCCCGGTAGCATCCCGCAAAACAACCTCATCCTCCTCTTCCTTCCCCTCTTTAGCTTTTTTCGCCTCCTCCATCGCCTTGGTCAACCTCTCCAACTCTCTCTTCTCCTCCTCTGCCTTTCTGGCAAGTTGCTCCGTTATCGACTTTGCAGACTGCAACCCCGGGCGCATGCCATTTGACATTTTTACCTGTCTTGGGTCGTCATCCACCTCCTCCGAACTGTCATCAGAGTCATGACCCAAGGCAGCAGCATCATTCTTCGCGGCTGCGAGGACGGCATCCGCAATGTTGTCGGAATCGTCACGTTTCTTGACTGTGGTGGGGAGGACGGCGGTGCCGACGGTGGACCAGGCGGATTTCTTGGACTTGCGGAATTCAGAGGTGTGCCCGGCGATGGTCATGGGGGTGTCGCCGTCGGAGTCGGAGTCGGGGTTTGGGTTGGGGTTGGCCCAGGTGGATTCGTCATCGGAGTCGTGGATGAGGAGGTTGTTGATTTGGGCGACGGGGTCGGCGGCTGTCTTGGAGGAGCGTTTTCGTTTTTTGGAGGTGGAGCTGGAAGAGGTGGTGGTGGATTTGGGGGGGTCGGCGGTTAGGTAGTGGGTTGCTAGGTAGGTTGCTTTGTCTGTTGGCATTGTGGGCGGTTATGGGTTTTTTTTTTTGGGGGGGGGGGGGGGGGGGTGAGGTTGGGTTTGGTGGTGGTGATGGCCGAAATTTTGGCTGCTTGTGGTGTTTGCGACAAGAATGTCGTGCAGCGGTTTGTTCCGCCCCACAAGGCTGCTGTTGCTCTGGTCGCGTTGCGCTGCAGCACGTTTGCAGTGGTACTGGGTGACATCACTGATAAGGTGTTGATAAGGGGTGATAAGCCGATAAGGCCATCAAGGTCACAGCTGGCTGGCTACACCGGTTGGTTTGGGACAGGGGCAATTCCATCTCGCATTCATCGACTAACAGTGTGATGCTACAATTGAAATTCCTCCCAAGAAGTCTGGGTCAGCTCACGACAGCCGACCAGTTCCAAGCCCCAAAACCGCGTTGTTGCGCTGCTGCTGCGGGAGGCGAAGCTGAGCCCGATATGGGGACCCGTGATCTGACAGACCACGGGGAATGGACCAAACATCGGGCTTTAGTTTGTGGTCCGCCAACATTCCCATCCTGTTTGAACACATCTAGAATATATTGAGTACCACACCCGACGCTTCCATTCAGCGGGACACATGGACTCCCACTATACGGCCATCTTCCAATCTGGCAACCCGATAGCCGCCCCTGAGTTCTTCACACTGTTATTCTTCTGCGTCTACATGGAGATAAGAAGTTGCAAATACCGAGGTCGGAACTTTTAAACTGTGCAATAAGCAGATGTGGAAGCTGAGAGAGAGTGCGGGGTCCTCGGTAACTCAGGTACGTGTCTGCGGCCGAGTCAAAGGTGAATGACCTGAGACCCCGTTCACGAGGAAGAGCGAGAGGTCAGCCGACACCCCGGCCGCCTTTCGTTTCGATTCTCTTTGCCTCTCTCTTTCTCCTTTGAGCCAACAAGGGGGGTTTTGCTATGTGGTAATTATTGGATTCTAGACCATACAAGACTTGACTAGTCGATGATAAACGGTTGTTGAGGATGCGGTGAAGGGGACAGCACAGACAGGGCTAAGTATCGAGATCCGAGAGGGGGGAGGGTAGGATGACATCCGTTATCCTTATCCTTATCGCGCGCGCGCGCTTGGAATGCACCTTTGCCGGCCGGCTGTGATCCTCAAAGACTGGTGGCCAGCTGAATCGCGTCAGCGGACTTGTCCGGAAGAACTCACTTGACGCGAGCATTCCGATCGGCAGTTGGAGAGCAAGACGGACGAAACCGGTAGAAATGAATGATTACCCATGAGAGCACATGTTTGTGTCGTGAGATGGCTCTGGAGATGTTGGTGATGCAGTTAGCAGAAGGGTGAGCTTGGCGGGGGCCGGTTGTGGGGGTTCCTGCAGCTCTCCACAGAGGCATCCACTTGTATGGTGCAGTGGTGGCATCCGACTCCAATTGTCAATTGCCAATCGCACCTCGAACCTCGACCATGTTCATCTCGAGACATCATCCCCGTTCTCATCAATGTCGAGATGCCATTGCCTGTGGGTAACACGAGTCCCGTCAGTGGCTGCCTGTTCAAGGAAACACCGGATGGTCGATGCATCATCCTCCTGCAGGGCACCCGAGGACAAGCGTTGGAGAAGGGTGTGGTGCATGGGCCGGCATTTGACATCCGGCATGAACATCTTGATGTCTACAAGCTTAGGTTACCCCAGATGACGCCGTCACTGCTAACATCTCTAGGGGACTACTGGGACCACGACCGCTTCCAGTTTGCTGACGAAGCCACTGGAGATGGCTTGGAAACGGGCCTGACGGTGGTTGTTTCATGTCCGCTAAACCGGTTTACGTTGATCAGGCCTGGGCCGCCATTTCATCATGGTCAACCCTGAGAGAAGCCAAGAATATCTCTTTCGAGCACTGTCCATGTCCACGTCTCAGCTGCAGCTGCTGGGTGCTCACAAGTGTCACACGCCGACCTGTCGTCACTTGTCACTCCCACTCCCACTCCCCACCTCCCGCTCGAGCTTTATCACCCGCACCCGCCATCCTCACATGGATCCTGGGCATTCCCAAACAGGCCGATAAGCCTCCTTGACTGAGTATAAGCCTCTCTTGTGTCCAGCCCCTTCCTATCTCGAGGCCTCTCCTTTCTTTTCCCTCTCTCTTGTTCTGTATAAATCGTCAAAGAACTATACACCTATACATACCTCGTTATCATCAGCTGGAGCCCAAGACACTCCTGTCGTCCTCAGTTTGTACCTTCACATCCTATTGGCTCGTTGCAGCTAGTATTTCCTCTTTCGTCATCTCGGCATCTTATCGCGATTCGCCAACAGGGGCTTGTCAATTACACGCCCTGCTCACTGCCTTCATCTGAGTCACCCGGCCGGCGTCCCGAAAGAGAAGACCCGGGGCCTTCTTTGTGTTGTTTAAAGTCAAGCGCTCCTGGAAGCACTTGACCTGTTTGAACAATCACACAACCAAGGAAACAACAAAGACGAGCCTTTCCATTTCACCCGCCCCAGGGGGGCTTTTGCATCATTTGGCAGGGTCCGTTGGAAGCTACCACTTACACCCCAACCCACTCTTATTTCAACCTCTCACCCGGCAACCGGTAAACTTTACCATTGATTCATATACTGGGGACTTCCTGGAAACCTTTTCCCACACACACATACAACCTGCTACTTTCCTTCTTGCCACATCTCATCGATAGATTGTTCAATCATCATCTTTGACATCTCCTACCATCCTTGAAGCTCTTCTTGCGGACTATTCCATACCCGCGCTGCGCTTCACGAGATACCTATCGCCGACTACTACATCTACCTTATCGATACCCATCTCATCCATCTTCAACTATCACCATGGCCAACCTCACCATTGAGTCCCGCCAGTTCGAGCGCGATCTCCGCCACAGCGCCAAGGAGCGAAAGCGCGTCAAGGACCACAATACCAAGTGGCAGCATGGCAGCCGCTTCCTCTCTGGTGTGGTGACTGAGGGCTTCTGGGACCAGGTCAAGCCTGTCAAGTACTCCAACGATGCTCACATTGCCAAGATGAAGCCAGACAAGAGATATGTTGATCGGTATGTCCTCTGCATCCCCTTCTTTAGTCAACCTTACTCTAACATATCCTCTCTTATTTATAGCTACCACTTCGCCCGCAAACCCACCGTCGGACAGAACATTGTCAAGGGCCGCTCCAACTGGTACACTCCCGACTCGGTCATCAAGAACAACCTCGCCAAAAACATCAACGCTGCTGACCTTAACGACGTCAACGCTTCTACTATTCCGACTTTAGCTCCACAAGACGATGTACTGTACTCGTTTGACAGGCATGACTCTCCCGACCGGCCGGTGACGCTGGAGGTTTTTGTCAAGGCTAGGAACACGCAGAAGGAGACGGAGAAGCTGGTGGAGAAGGAATATGAGGTTGTGGATGGGAACGGGGAGGCGGTGAAGGGGAGGAAGGCGAAGAAGGTGTTGCGGAGCGGGACGAGTGAGAGACGGGAGGAGAATGAGCCGGTGGTGGTGGAGGGGGGGTTTGAGCTTGTTTAAGCTTGACTTTTGGCGGCGCATCTTTCCCTTTGTATAACTTGCTTGAGTGTTTAGCGGCTGCTTTTTTTTGGGGGGGAGGGGGGTCTCGATGGTGAGCATATGACGGGACGACAGTACAACTACTGCTGGTCGGATCGTCATGACATTATACTACATTTGGTGGGCGCGCGCGGTTGGCATTTTGACGAGCATGGGATGATGGATGGGGGCATGACATGAGGGTTTATTATGAGTTTATTTATTTATTTAAGGATTATGAAGCATTTTAGTAGTACGCTGATAGGGCAATCAATATTTTCGATTCTGGAGAGAGATTTACCTTGCAACACAACATGAGCAACATTAGGATACTATGAGATGTGAAATGAAGGGTTTATGTATTTGTGGTTTGTTTACCTACGTACATATTGCTTGTTGATGTGTCTGCCCGGCTTGTTGCGACTGTCATCCAGCCTCTCTGCTCAAAGAACTGCTGGACGTTGATTAGGGTTGCAGAAGGGGGAAGACTCGTAAAGCGGACTTCCTTCCACGCTCGAAAAGAGCACACAGATCGACCAGACCGGTCAGCGGAGACTCACTCCCATCTGCTAAATCTTTCCGAACTCGAAGATTGATCAAGCCATCGGCTCGATGGAAGAAATGACGGCGTATATAGAAAGGACATCGGTGATTTCTTTTTTGTGATTATATCCTGCACTGCAGCAAAGCAGGTGCTGAACCTTGCCCTTGAAGGATAGTCAACAGGTCTCAAAAATAGAAATAGCAGGTTAAAAGATACCGTAGGTTAACAGGCCTTGAAGAATTGTCAAAAAGTCTTATTCCCTACCCACCTAATTGAAAAAAAATGCACAAGGGTGACGGTTGCTATCCGTGTTACTCTAAATTGCAATAACGATTATTTTATCCACAACGCAATAGTTCATATCATTCACATCAGTAGGGGTGATGATTTGCTGAGTTGGTGGTGAGTGAAGTGAATGCAATGGAAAATACTTCTTCTGGTTGTTGTCTGATGTTAGGGATGCTCTAGATAAAGTTGTTCAATATCGTTGATTTGCTGTGGAACAGGGGTCGCAAGGAAAGTAACTCGTCAACAATCACCTTTCACCAGCATCCTTTCAATTTCACAAAAATAATTTGCTCTGCCTATCTGCCTATCCCTCGATCTAGAGAAAAGCAAAGCGAGTAAAAAGAAAAAAAAAAGAAAAAAAAAACAAAAAAACAACTCGCTGATAGCCCCAAGCCAGCTCCTCCAGCCCAGATTTCGGGCCCCAAAGTATTCATCCCGAGTACCTTACATAACAACCTCCATAACCGCAGAAAAACATCCTCCCATTTTCATCAGCATCTTGCCTTTTATGATCACTAGTGCTAAGCCGTTATCCCCTCCCAAACTCAACAGTGTTATACAAAAACTAAACCACAATGCCTAACTAGGCCTCCACCCCGGCTTCGCCTTGAGCAACTTCGTCTCATGATGAAAGTCAGAAAAGCTCTTGACCATGTGGATCCACTCCTGCCTCGTAGTAGACCCCGGCTTGTCAATCCGGTGCTTGAACTGCGACATGAACGGCACGAGCGCAATGCCGTTCGTGTGTCGGGCCAGCGCCTCGTAGCACTCCTGCGCCGTGATCTTAGCAACCGGCTTCGAGGACGGAGGCGGCGAGCCGCTGGGCGTTGCGGTGCCCGTCTTGGAGGCTTGACCTGTTTCTCACGAGTTAGATTTGTATGACAAGGAGTGACAGCAGCAGATGGAAAAAGCTTACCGGCTGGAGCAGGACTGCCCGCCCTCGAACCAGAAGGCGTCCCACCAGGCCGCTGCGCCTTCATCTTGAACTTCTTCTTCAGCATCGCACCGCCATCAGACCCCTCCCCAGCGGTAGCCTCCCCGTCACTCGTAGCCCCCGGCATGACCTTCGGCCGGCCGGGAATAGGAGTGCCCATCCGACTCGGCACGCTAGACCCCTTGCCAGTCTTCATCTTCTTCCGGGCCGTCTCGATGTCGCTCGACTCCGACATCTCCGGTGAACCAGCCCGCTTCAACTTGCCCTTCTTATTGGCAATTGCGCTCTTGGAAGGCGTGGTGTTCCCCTTGGTATTAGACCCCGAAGTGACAGGCTCAGGCTTCTTCTCCTCTTCCTTCTTCTCTTCCTCGTCGGAGTCGTCGGAATCCGAAGAGTCCGTAAACGGATTGTTAGAGTCGCTCTCGGACATGTCGTCGTAGTCCATCGCCTTCTCCAGTTTCACCAATCCCTTGATCGTCTGCTTTCCTATCATCTTTCTCTTCAGCTTCTCCAATTGCCTCTCCCTCTCCTCTTTCTCAACCTTGTCTTCCTCACCCTCACCGAACAAGTTGGAAGCCAGCTGTTCTTTGCGAACACGCTCCTTCGACTCCTTGGCGTCCTCATCATCCGCCTCAAAACCAGGAGTCTCGTCATCATCTTGGAATTCGTCGCCAGAGATATCCAACTCGTAGTCATCCTGTCTCTCGGATCCACGAGCGGCGCGAGAAGTGGCGCTCTCAGTCTTGACCCTGGTAGGGCCGTTCAGGAACATTCTCGTCTCCAGCTTCTCCCGCAATCTTTCCTCTCTCTCCTTGTCCTTCATGACCCATCGCTTGACCTCCTTGACCTCGTACATGAGCTTTTCAGCGTCATCGAGCGAGAGGGTGTCAAATCTTGGCTTCTCGTCAAACTTGTACCACCGCTCCAAGGGGATCATGCGGAAACGCGCGCCGTCAATAACGAACACGACGTTGCTGTCTGAAAGACCGGCCACATAAGAGCCAACCCACACGCCGGCCTTGCCCTCGGCATCCTCAAGATGCCATGGAAGTGTCTCCTCGTAGCGCAGGCCGGACTGCTTCTTGTGGGCGTCGGAGTGCTTGCCGTAAAAGGCGGAAGCTTTCTCCTTCTTGTTGTTTGTCTTCGGCTTTGGGTTGTTGTCCTTAATGACCGGGGCCATCTGGGCTTGATCAAGGGCCCGTTGGGCCTCCTTGTCAGCCTTCATCTTTTGGATGCGGTCCATCTCAGCTTGCTGCTCGGGGTCCATTGGGACATCGTCTTGCTTCATAGCCATCCGATAAGCGGGAGGAAGGCGCGGGTCGCGACGGTGCAATGTGACGGGTCGGGGAAATTGGTCCTGATTCAACAAATCAATGTCGACTTCTGCTCCGCCCATCTGCTTGTGCAACCGCATGACATGGTGGCGAATTCCTTCGCGGAAAGCCTTCTTGGTGAGGACAAGAGGGAACTCCTGGACGCTGCCGGCGGGTTGATCTGACCAGCCACCATTCCGTGCGCGCTGTTGACGCAGCTGCTCGACCTTGCTGGCGTATTCTCTCTCGATTTCCTTGTCGAGCTCGCCGGAGGAGTCGACCAGCCTTTTGGCCTCTTTGCCCTTTGGGGGTAAGGCGTGGAGGGGTTTGGCTCTGGGTTTTACTCTCGCTCTCAAGGGGTCTGTGTTGGGTTTGCGGCGGATGAAGGTTGGGGCAGCGCCTGGGGGACGGGGAGGCCCAGGCGGTTGCTGCTGTGGCGCGCTCATTGTGTGGTGACTTGTGAAACTCGATGGGATGAGTGGACGACTGGAAGGCGCGTCAATGCGCCGATGGTAACACGGAGGAGGCCCGCGAAAGAAAGATGCAATTGATGGCTCAAGTCGTCATCAAGAGCGCGACTGAAGATGGCGGCGCGACAGAGTAATCGGCAGCGAGATTCTGGCGTAAATCGATCGATCTCCGAAAACTCCTTGGTTGAACCCGGTCGGCGGCGGATATGAGAGAAGTGGTTGTCGATACTTGGGTAGTGGTCGGTGGTTGTTCGTTGTCAATGCCAAAAGTTAACGTCTGTCACAGAACTTGGAGTGATCAATGGCGACGGCTGGCAGCGGGCATGGATGACAAAGGGACCCGCTAAAAAGGCAGCCGCAAATGGCTTGGCAGAACACTGCTGGGACCGGGTGAGCACAGACCACCCTGCTCGACCATCAAGGTTTGGCGGGGTTGATTCCAGAATTTCTCTCTTCTTGTAAGTCGAGACTCGAGATGGGCATGGACTGGAGAGGTTTGCTGACCTTTCCGGACAGCGGCAGATGCTGGGATACGAGGTAATTAAACCCAAGCCCAAGCCCTCTGGAGAATAAGTACTAGCTGGGTTGAACCTTATGCTCTTGTGGCAACTCTAGTTGTCGAGGTTCGCTCCAGCCACTGTTCGAGAGCATGTGTGAGTTTTTGATCTGGCTCTGGGACTGGATACCACCTACCATCCCAGGCAATCACCACGAAGAGAGCAATGGAACAGCAACGACAGAGCAATGATAAGACTCATTTCACTTCGATGTAGTATATGAGAGCATACTAAGTCTATACCCAGCCAATCACGACAGGATGTTGCCTGGAAGTCAAGTGCTCTCTGCCTGCCGTGACTCTCGTGTCTCACCTTCTCGCTCCACCGGCACCGTGGAGTTTGAAACCAAAAAAACGCTTGCCCCACAAAAAAGTGCGCGCCTCCAGACGCTCAAAAGGGTACCTTTTTCTGCCGTCCTCCCTTCTCAAATTTTTTGAGGGTATATCTCTTGGCACCAAACTCTCACGATCCCTAGCAACCATCAGCTCAAATATCCAGTACCGGCCGATATCCATATTCAAAATGCGTGTCGTCCTCGTGAGCGGTGGTGTCATCTCGGGCATTGGCAAAGGTCAGTTCCTCTGTTGGCTGAAGTCTCTCCACCACGCTCCAATCGAGGGGCAGTCCGTTTTCTGATAGCGAGGAGGGGCCAAGCGCTGACCTGCTTTTTTTTTGACAGGAATTATTGGTATGTGGTGACACATTCATTCGTCGCCTGCCCTCTGCTGTCTCCTCGACTAACACACACACGCAGCCTCCTCGTCTGGTCTTCTTCTGAAGACGGCTGGTCTCAAGGTCACGGTAGGCGTTACTGTAAAAACTTCATCCAATTCAGTAGCTCCGGGCTCATCATGTTCTCTTCCAGGCCATCAAAATTGACCCCTACCTCAATGTTGATGCCGGCACATTGGGGCCTCTAGAGTATGCCACCAGCTCCCAATACGAGACAACCGGCGCATAACTAACACTTGTAATTCAGGCACGGCGAGTGCTTCGTGCTTGCCGATGGTGGTGAATCTGATCTCGATCTTGGAAACTATGAGAGGTAACTCGTATCCGTCTCATCTCTCCTTGCATGAGACCAGATACTGACGCTTGTCAGATACCTCGACATCCAACTAACCAGGGACAACAACATCACAACCGGCAAGGTCTACCAAGCCGTCATCGTATGTCTGATCGTAAATCTGCATCCCCTTCCAGGTCTGACATGATTCCTGTGCCATAGGAGAAAGAGAGAAGGGGAGACTACCTTGGCCGAACCGTCCAGGTCGTGCCTCACATCGTCCAGCAGATCAACGACACCATTGAGCGGGTTGCCAAGATCCCAGTCGATGACTCGGGTGCGACGCCAGATGTCTGCATCATCGAGTTGGGTGGTACCATTGGTGATCTCGAGTCTGGGCCTTTCGTAGAGGCCCTGGTGCAGCTGAGACACAAGCTCGTCAGAGATCCCGAGTCCTCCTTCTTCAACATCCACGTCTCCTTCGTTCCACTGATCCACGGAGAGGAGAAGACCAAGCCCACCCAGCACGCCATCAGACAACTCCGGAGCTCTGGTCTGGTGCCAGACCTTGTTGCCTGCCGGTGTGATGCCTCCCTCGACGATGCCACCATCAAGAAGATCGCCTTCAGCTGCCAAGTTGACCTCGACCAGGTCATTGGCGTGCATGACATGGAGACAATCTACCAGGTCCCTGTCCTTCTTGAGGAGCAAGGTCTGCTCACGCTTTTGCACAAGGGTCTCCAGCTCGACAAGATTCCTTTGGATGCTAGCAGAAAGGAGGAAGGTGCCAAGCTGTGGGATCTCTGGAAGAAGACCATTGACGTCCCCAAGGATCTCCAGCCAGTTCAGCTTGCATTGGTTGGCAAGTACACCTCCCACATGGACTCCTACCTGTCGGTAGTCAAGGCGCTTGAGCACGCTTCCATGCACCTCAAGCGCAAGCTCAACCTGATCAATGTCGACTCTGAGCATTTGGAGGAGGCCATGCTCAAGAAGGACCCATCCAAGTACAAGGACGCTTGGGCTGTTCTGGAGAGTGTTCAGGGGGTGTGTATTCCCCCTAATTTTGGACGATTTTCTTTTTCGGTAGCTGACATTCATCCAGATCATTGTGCCCGGTGGTTTTGGCAACAGAGGCATCGAGGGTATGATTGCGACGGCCAAGTTCGCTCGTCAAAAGAAGATCCCCTATCTCGGTATCTGCCTCGGTCTGCAGGTTGCCGTCATTGAGGCGGTCCGGGATTTGCTCAGCAGGCCCAATGCCACCTCGGAGGAGTTTGACAACAACGCCGAGCACAAGGCTGTCATCTTTATGCCCGAGGGCTCCAAGGAGTAAGTGCAACGAGAAAACGAAAGTCCCAGGACATGGAGCTAACAAACCTGTAGGAAGATGGGTGGTACCATGAGACTTGGCACACGGCCAACTCTCTTCCAGGCCGGCACCGAATGGAGCAAGCTCCGTGGCCTCTACGGAGGTGTTGAGGTGACACACGAGCGTCATAGACATCGTTATGAGGTCAACCCTGACATGGTTGATGAGCTTGAGAGCAAGGGCTTCCACTTCGTTGCCCGGGACGATGTTGGCAACCGCATGGAGGCATTTGAGCTCAAGGACCACCCATACTTTGTTGGCTTACAGGCCCACCCCGAGTACAGAAGTAAGGTCACTCGGCCATCGCCACCATTCCTGGGCTTCGTGGCATCCAGCGCTGGGCTCTTGGACAAGGTGCTCAAGGAGATTGCGGAGGAGAAGGTTGTCGTGAACGGGCATCACTTTTAGGTGGAAGTAGCGGATCTAGCGTGATGAACATTGCAGATAGACCATATCTAGACCAGCGATTTTCGCAGCCCAATAAAAAAAAGTAAAATAATCATCCAAGACCACTTTCCTGCTTGGTTGTCTCAAAGGTCCAGCTGATATGGCCCGTGCACGGTAACCCTTGGCGCTTTCCGAATCGCTCCCAACTCACAGCGATAAGTGGGGTCATTCGCTGAAGTTGTTTCCCTCACCAGCAATGAAATAATTGTTGCTCTACAACCTTGACCGAGAATTCTACAACTTTCCTCCAGAGGCTCTACCAGTCTGCTGCGGCTGGCAAAACAGCTACTACTTTGGGATCATCATTACCTTCTACCCAGCATTGTCAGACGCGTTTGCAAATTCTGCCAACTCGGCTTTCATTCATACTTTTTCGACCAAGCCAAACAAGGCTGGTTACATACTCCCGTATAGCTCTACGCGGCGCCATTGTGAACCCAAGCTAGTCAATAATAGCTACCACGCCGGCGACCTTCTCCCTAACTAGCCCTATGAGGCCAACCCTCGTTTTTCCATACCCACAGCATTGACTGGCACGCCGTCGAGGGGTTCCAAAAGTCAGACGGGTCATTGTGTGGAAAATGGCACAACCTCCTCCTCCATCTGGTCAACCTGGCCAGGGCCTCGAGGATCGCTTTGGGAATATGACGATTGCAAGTCAAGGCCCGTCTACTGCTGGACCGCAGCAGCAGGGGGTTATTGCTGAGACTCAGGTCGTGGTGGATGCCTCTGGACAGAAGCGTCAGAAGCGTCTGAACCAGAGTCAGCGTCGCGAGCTGGCTGCTCAACTCACCATCCCCATCGACCCTCGGCCTCTGGTTCTACCACCGCCGGTATCCCAACCTCAGATTCTACCACAGCCGGTGTCCCGGCATCAGAATCAGCATCAGCATCAGCATCAGCCTCAGCCTCAGCATCAGCCTCAGCATCAGCATCAACGGCAGAATTCCCAACACCATCAAAACCAGCAACAGTTCAACCAACAGCAGCGTGGTGGCCATGGCCATCAGTCTCGAGGCAGTGGAGGCAGGGGAGGCGGCCATTGGCAGGGACAGCGTGCTAACCACAGACCTCAAGGCAACGGTCGTGGTGTTTTACAGGAAGAAGCAACAGCTTACCGGCCTCACTCAGCTACTTTCCTCCCACCTAACCAGAGGCAAGGCGGCGGCAGCGGTGGCGGTCAGCCTCATGGATGGCCACAAGCCCGGGGACCTCAAGGCAACGGTGGCGTTTTGCAGGGAGAAACACCAGCTTACCGGCCTCACTCGGCTACTTTTCTCCCACCTGACCCAGGTCAAGGCGGCGTTCCGTTCACACAACCGCGGCACCAAGTCTCGCGATCTTATCAGGGCCCCAAACAAATGAATTCTCCTGCGGAACAGTATCCCGTGGATGTCATCACCCCAGCCCTTCCGTCGCCCGTGCGGCCCGACCTTCAGTCACCTCGGTTTAGGAACCAGCCGCCACACCCTCACCGTCATCAAACTGTGGGTAGTGGCAGTGCATTTAGCATTACTAGGGAGGTTCTGGCGCAGGCACAACATCTGGAGAACATCTGCAACGAAGTCGTTGCAAATGCCGAGATCAATCCCGCTGAGATTCAAGAGAAGGAGGCTTTCCGAGTCAGGATTGAGCAGGTCGTCCGGGATGTCATTACCAATTTCGAGAACGAAAAAGCCGGCGAACCGTGGTTTCCACGAGAGAGTGTCCAGCTGAAGTGTTTTGGAAGTCTGATGTCTGGGTTTGCAACCAAGGACGCGGATATGGACTTGGGCCTGTTTGCCCCGTTGTTGGACCCTCAACCAGAGGCATCAGGTTCTCCGATACCGAGGCTGATCGAAAAGGCTTTTCTTGACATGGGGTTGGGTGCGAGGCTGCTTACCCGGACCAGAGTGCCTATCATCAAGATTTGTGAGAAGCCGCCAGAGGAGTTACGGGTTGCGCTGTTGAAGGAAAGGGAGGACTGGGAAAAGGGAGCGGTAGAGGCCGAGGTTGATGTAGAGGATGCGCATGACGAGGTTGAGCCTATCCGGGGAGCTGAGGAAGCACAACCGCCTCCTGCGCCTGGAAGCGAAAGTCAACAGCCGGCACGTGTTGTCGAGGAAAGTGAAGCGGTATCTACTCCCGAGCAGCTACTTCAGTCTCTCAAGCAAGATGGACGGAGTCTGACGAATTACCACAACGCCGCCAAGAAGGTTCTTCGAAAGCTTGGGGGCTACGACATAACCCACACCAACGTCTCCTCGATGACGCCCGAGTGGATCGAGCCTCTCAATCGGGTCTGTCTGGCGTTTGCGCGGGGTGTTGCCAACGAGAAGGTGCGGGAGGCGCTGTTGAATTCCAGGAATCTGAACGAACACGAACTTCTCACCTTGAAACTGCCGAGGACCCTGTTGGGGGTTTTGTTCCAGATCGAAGGAGAGATGCTGGCTCAGTCGTGGGAAGATCGACCGGTACAAGAAAAAGACGATAATTCGGAGCGGCGGTCTTTTGCCACCTTGGCACGCTGGAGGGACCTCATGCACCGCAGCAATGTCGGTCAGGATCCGCTGACGTATCAGAAGGAAGTCCAGAACTATGTTGAGACGCTGAAACGGATTCCGTCGCTTGCGCTTCTTCATCTTGCGCAGATGCCGCATGAGCCGGTGGTGGCTTTTCACAAAAGGGCGAATCAGTTGCTCGTTGAGCTGGGCGGGTGCGACGAGTCGTCAACTGGGGACACGATCCTTCCGATTGTTATACGACATTACATCAACGGCATCTGGAACAGCGAGGTTCGCGAGCAGGTGGATGAGTTTTCGAAATTCCCCTACGCCTCAACGTTGGGAGCCGTGGCGAAACGGCACAAGAGTCTCCAGCTTGCGCTGGATTATGAGAGGTGTCTCCAGAAAGGGCAATATCAGGAACCGGCGGCGAGTTTGGTGAGGTGTTATGTTGCTCTGCTTCGGGGACCGATGACGAAGAACGACAAGACTGGCGAGTTGGCTGTTCCCCTGCCGGATGAATCCGATGAGCTCATGGCAACGATCAAGCAGCTGGGGGACCCAGCCATTGAACCGCCCAACCAACCTCGAGATCTGCACAGAGACCGTCTCGAGTTCCCAAAGTCGAACATAGGCGTCCAGTGCGACATCAACTTCTCTGCTCATCTAGCGGTGGAGAACACGACCCTGCTGAGGTGCTACTCCCTCTGCGATCCGAGGGTCAGGCCGCTCATCTTGTTTGTCAAGCACTGGGCCAAGGTGAGGCAAATTAACTCGCCCTACCGGGGCACGCTGGGGAGTTACGGGTATGCGATCATGATGCTGCACTACCTTATCAACGTTGCGCGGCCGTTTGTGGTGCCTAACTTGCAGCTCCTCGGCCCGTCTGGGCAGCCGCCACAGATGTGCAAGGGGTACCCCATCCACTTTTGGCGAGACGAGGCGCAGATTGAGAGGCTGGCGAAGGGGAACGAGCTGACGATGAACAGGGAGAGTTTGGGGATGTTGTTGAGGGGCTTTTTCGAGTATTATGCCCATAATAACCACAGGACGGGGAAGGGTTTTGATTGGGGGAGGGATGTGATTTGTTTGAGGAGGCAGGGGGGTTTCATGAGCAAGGTTGAGAAGGGGTGGACGGGGGCGAAGACGGTGGTGGAGAGTCCGGCAGGGGGGGTTTTGTCGCCGGGGAGTGTGGGGGGGGTTTTGTCTCCGGGCGGTGGTGGTAGTGGTGTTGGGACTCCGGGTGGTGGTGGCGGTGGTGAAGTAAAGGAGGTCAGGCTCAGGTTTTTGTTTGCGGTGGAGGACCCGTTTGAGACGGATCACAATGTTGCCAGGACGGTGACGCACCAGGGGATTGTCAAGATCAGGGATGAGTTTAGGAGGGCGTGGGGGATTATCAGGGGGAAGGAGGAGGGGGAGTTGTTGGAGGATGTGGGGGAGGTGGAAAGGAAGAGGGCGAGGAAGGAGTTTGAGGGGTTGTTGGGGGAGTTGCATGGGGGGCTTCTTTAGTGGAGGAAGGCCAAATGGGAGGAATGGGCAAGGGAGAGGGAAATTCGGCGGTGGAGTCGGACAAAGAGGGTGGGTGGTACAAGCGGTGGTGGATAGGGAAAAGGGTGGGAAGGGGGGGTTATATAAAAGGAAAACGGAAAAGGGTGTGTACTCTAAAAAATGGGTGTGAGATTTTGTGTAAGAGTATGGTTGTGTGTCTGTAATTTTTTGTATTTTGCATTGTTGTTTGGTAGCTGGTAGTTAAAGCGGCTCATAGCAGCGGAGACTGGTGTGGTGGCATGGCAATGAAGTGTGTTGACAGATGTTTTTTTTTATTGTGATCTCTTGGTCATACGGTTGCTGGCTTTCATGGGTAGACTACTGGTATTTCTCTCACATTGTTTTTTTTTCTTCCTCTCAAAGAGTTTTCTCCCATAGTATATCCTTAGATAGTTTCTTTTAGGGGTAGAAGTTTTACCAATACACACTCACAGTGTTGCTCATTTGTAGTGTCTATCGAGGAGAGAACGCTCTCCTTTAATATTTTCCGTGTGATGTGGTGGTACCTTGGAGTTGCTGTTGAACACATCTCGTTGACAACATGTTTTGTAGACTTATTAGACAGCTGAGACAACTCTCTTCTACACTCACAGCTGATGAGTTTGTTGATGATCCTGTGTATTTTTGTTTCGGTGTGAAATTTATGATAAGGATGTGTAGGTGGATGACTTTTATAAATGGGCGCTACGTAGGAGAGGTGGAGATGTGATAGGTGGTACGTATTGGGTCTTTGTTATGTGTTGGAATGTATGTGAGTGTGTGAACGAGAGGGATGGAGGGGTGGGAGAATAGGTACGCAAGAGCGGAAAGAATGAAAAAGAAAACAAGGAAGAGTGAAAATTAGAAAGAGTAAGAATATATGGGATATAACTTGGCTGAGAAAGTATATTAGGGAATATAGTATGAGAGACAGTTGTGTGTGTGTGTGTGAGAGAGAGAGAGAGAGAGAGAGAGAGAGAGAGGGAGATAGCATGCAAAATACAAGTATATCCAGAACCTAATGTGATGAGACTTGATCATTTTAATCTTGGGTGCATCGAGTTTCCATCAGATTGCGGATAAAGAAAGCATCATCATATTTCCTGGGATTTTAGTGAGATGGGCTTGCAAGAATATCTCAGTCCTGAGTCATTGCTATAATAGGTACACCGTCAAACTTGATATGCAGATTTGGTTGCACAAAAAGGCGGGTATCTAATTTCTCATCTTGTACAAAACTTTACGTCTCCCACAACCCTCCAAATTTCACCCAGTTGAGATCGTCATCCACTTTCTTGGGCTGAGGTTAGTTTCCAGTTGGCATTGTTTGATCTGAGACGGTTGACTCACCTCATCCTTCATATATGACAACACATAATGCTTGGTAATATGATAAATATAATACACGTGACTTCATAGCCTTTCGAGCAAAAGAAGACATCACCCAGGAAACATCCTCCCCATCAGCAACTCGTAATAAGCCCTCTGCTCCGACTCGCTGCCGAGCGACGGGTCAAAGTCTGGGTCGTTGGAGTCGGCTATTGGTTCTGGGTTGGAGCCCATGCTGTAGAAATCTGCTATTGTTTCGTCTGGGGCGAAGCCTAGAGAGGCGAGGGTTTGTGAGGTCCTCATGGCTCTGTGTTTAGACTGTTAGAAGTTGCGAATTGAAAAAAAGGAAGAAACAAGGACATACGCCTGGGCAGCATCTTTTGCTACAATGTCTGATAAGCTGGCGGAATCTTTTGGTTGGAAGGGAGAGCCCAGTTGGGGGAATTGTATTGGAGTTCTTGGTTGTTCTGGTACCACGTAGCTTGATGCTGATTGGCTTCTTGGGGCGGGTGGTTGGAGTGTGGCTCTCTTTGCTGGTGGTGGCCGGGCGGGTGGTTCTTCTGGTGCGTCTTCTTCGTCGACTTCTTGTGATGGTAGAATGTTGTTTTTGGAATCTAATGTGGTCTGGTTATTGTTGTTGTTGTTGTTGTTGTTGTTGTTGTTGTTGTTCTCTGTGGGTGGAGTGGGTGCTGGGCCGTTGTGACCAAAGAAGGCTTTGAAGACTGAGCTCTGCTGCCACTTGCTGATCAAGGCTTCCTGCTGATTGGAATCTTTGATAGCGGTTATCATGCTCTTCCCGGCGGCTCCTCGTAGATGGCCTTCTATCAGGGCGTCAAGTCCAGGGATGGCGTCCAGTACAGCTCCCCATGCGGCGGCACTCTCCTTGTAGGTGTTGAGAGCAGTACGGTAGCCTTTTTGGGGACCACGTCTCTTGGTTGGACGGAGATATAAACATGGCTTGTTATGTTTGGTACAGACACTGCATTTTGGCTTGCCATTGTCACATGGCTGATGGTTGACATGGCAGAAGTCACAACTATGAGATGGGTATGAGTGACACGTCAGTGGTGGAGAGAGAGTGAGACACTTACGCACGGGAGGCCTTCTTCCTCTTGCGGGGATTGGCCGGAGCCTCACTCCCGGCATCGGCGCCGGTGTCACTGGCTGGGGGAGGCGGAGGGCCGGAAGCGGTAGCACCACCGAAGACGGGGTTGGTGTTGGTGGCTAAGGGAGCGCGCTCCTCGACGGAGAACTCCATTTTCCTGGGGCTTCGGAACGGGCGGGGCCCATAGACTTGGTCGGAAGAAATACTTTATCCACAAGGAAGGGAGGGAGCAGCAGAGCAGAGCCAGCCAATGCCGTATTTCGGTGGAAAACAGGTGTGTTAGAGTTGGCAGGAGAAAAGCGCGGTGCCGAACGCGGGGACTTTGATTTGCAGGGAAATCGTGGGGGCTCGGGCCCACGCTTCCGGCGCTCTTAGCACCCGGCCCGAACCAGTGCCCCGGAAGCGCCCCTAAAAATTCAACGTCTACGGAGGCGGGGCGTGTCGGGGGGATCACACGGCACGTCTTGGTCTCCATGTCTACCCAAGGTAATCTAGATATTTTGGCATTGATTCATTATACACATTTCAGGACATCTGTTACAAGTTCATTATTCAACATGACGTGAACCTCGAGTGGAGTTTAACCTCCGGCAGGGCCCGATATGCCAGGGCAGGTGATGGATGGCCTTCAACCTAAGCCTGCTGCACCCTCCTTCTTCATGGTTCCCAGTGGAGGTTTCTTGCCATCTCGGCCGAGAGGTATCATGACAGCTGCCATTCGTAGCATTCATACGTTGCATCTGTTCCATGATCTCCCATTGGACATCATGTGCTTCATTATTTCAAACTGAATTTGTGCTTTGCATCTCCCGTAGCCACTGCCATGTTCCCCGCAAACACTGGCGCGTTTCCTGGGGCATTGCTGGGGCAGTGACCCACTAAACACCGACGACCCGGCACCCGAGTCCCGCTGTCGCAGCATCGTTGCGGGGGTGGCTTCACTGCCCGGGCCAATGCAGGGTCTACATTTTCCCGCCTGCCAGTCCCGACCGATTTGCCGACATTTCGACGGTCCAAGATGGCGACTGGGAGTCGGGCCTTCATCTGCGGCCTGAATTGTGTCTGATTATCTGATAGGTAGATGCCCTCACTCATTATTATTCAGTCTCACAAATCAAGATACTAGCATCATAAGCCCCTTCTCGACTTTTCATCCCGTCCCTGATCACGCACCAATGGTCCAGCTCACGGTGCCATATCGATACCACAAGAGACCACCGAGCTGAGGACCATTTCAACAGCCGTGTCGACGCCACGGACAACACCATGGCTCCACCAAAGAATGAACGGGCCTTCGAGGCAAACTCATCCATTGTCCTCGTCGGATGCCGCGGGGCAGGGAAGCGGACCTTGGGATTCATGGGAGCTCTTCACCTACGCCGACGACTAGTCACAGAGGAGCACTACTTTGAGAAAACCACGGGATTATCACGTGGGGAGTATCTCGCCCGACATGGCAGGGAGGCCTTTGCCAGGCAGGATATCGAGGTGTTCAAACGAATGTTGGACAGCAACAGGACCGGGTGTATCATCGAATGTGGCATGAGCAGCCTTACGGGAGAGGCACAGGACGCACTAAGACAGTACTCCAGCACCAACCCAGTCGTCTACATTCACCGCGAAAAGGAGCAAATTGCCCGGCATTTGGACGCTGCCGACCTTCAACAGCTCCTGAAAGCCGACGAGCGGCATAGAAGCTGCTCCAATTTTGAGTACTACAACCTCTACGATCCCCCAAACAAATCTGGGGGTCACATTTCGGGCACGAGCTCGGGGGCCAGCACACCACTGAATGGCCGACAGTCTGGGCCATCGAAGCTTTTAAGTGCCAGGGAAGATTTTACCAGATTTCTCGACATCGTCACAGGGAGGGGCGCCACCAAGGCCTGGTTGGAGAGCCCATTTTCTGTGAGCTCAGTGCCACCGGAATTCCGGTCATATTCCTACGCGTTGCGACTCAGACTATCCTATTTGATGGACATGGATCTGGAATGGGAGGATTTTGAGGCGAGAGGAGATTGCGTCGAGTTCATCATCGATCACTGGCCAGACGATCTGATGAACGTTATTGCGAGACAAATCGCCTTGATAAGGAGAAAACTCGGCATTCCAATCATCTACCATGTGGAAGAAAACCCACGAGGGGAAAGAAGACGAACGCCGGAAGAAAAAGACGCCATGGATGCTGACTTGTTGGAGCTGGGCCTCCGTCTCGGCGTTGACTATATCAGCCTAGATCTCCAGCGCCATGACGAGTTTGTGAACCGGGTACTACGGCACAGAGGAAGGTCAAAGATCATTGGGAACTTCTGGTACATGGGCTTTGGGGCCCTTGCTTGGCAGGACGACAGACAGATGGAAAACTACAAGAGGGCTCAGGGGCTAGGGTGCGAGGTGGTGCGGATGGTCCGCTTCTGCACAAATGACAGCCCGGCTGAGCTTCTGGAAGGCTTCAAGAGGAGGCTACAGCAAGAAGTACCAGACCCAAAGCCACCACTTGTGGCCTACGACTTTTCCGTCCTCGGCGTTCGGACACCACTGCAAAGCAGGATTTTGAATCCCGTGAAGCATCCAGATATGGAGAATGAGCGAGACCACCTTGCCACGGTCTCTACCTACTATCACTCGTATGAGTTGCTTTTCCGGCAGTTTCTTCTGGATCCGCTGCAGTTTTACGTGCTCGGCTCCCACGTATCATATTCGCTATCACCGGCCATGCATAGTGCGGCCTACGACTTCTGCGGGATGCCACACACTTTCCAGGATGTAACGTGCTCTACGATCGACAGGCTGAACCAGATCTGCCTATCAGACTCTTTTGGGGGGGCCAGCTTGACAGCCCCTTTCAAGGTTGCCATCATGCCCCATCTCAAAGTCAAGAGCCACCATGCCACCGCGATAGGAGCAGTCAACGTACTGCTTCCACTCAGGGGAAAGACGAGCGCCATTCTCGACCATGCCAACTCTCGAAACAAGGCCGGGCCTGCACGCGAGTTCTTTGGTGATAATACCGACTGGAGCTCCATTCTGACATGCCTTCGGAGGGCTATCAGTCCACGGAATTATGTCCAGCCATCTAAAACTACCGGGTTAGTTGTTGGCGCCGGTGGCATGGCCAGAGCTGCCATCTATGCGCTGATTCAGCTGGGATGCCGTAATATCTTTATCTACAACCGAACAGCACCAAATGCCAACCAAGTTGCACAGCACTTCAACGACTGGGCGGCAACACAGGGAATTGTGGGCACAAAAGGAGGGTCACATGAGATCTGCCGAGTCCTTCCATCGCTGTCAGAGCCATGGCCTCGGGCCTACCAACCTCCCACGATGGTGATCTCCTGTGTTCCAGCTACCAGCGCGAATGGGTCCGCGCCTGCTGATTTTGAGATGCCTCTGGACTGGCTTAGGAGTCCGACTGGTGGCGTCGTGGTCGAGGTAAGCATCAGATGAGCCAGCTTTTGTGATATCTAGGTATTTTGCTGACTTTTCTGCTCTAGTTGGCCTACGAGCCTCTGGTAACTCCATTGGTAGCCCAGATGCATGCTGTCAGAGACCACATGTCGCCATCATGGGTGGTCGTCGACGGGTTGGAGGTGGTCGCGGAAATGGCCATCGAGGCCTTTGAGCTGATGACTGGGCGCATGGCCCCCAAGAGGCTCATGAAGGAGGTGTGCAGGAAAACGTGGGAGCAGCAGCAACAACAGCAGCGCCAAGGCAGCGAGATGGCAATGTCGTCTTACTGAACGGGGAGACTTTTGATACGAGCCGAGATTGATGAATGGATACCCTGAGCACTCTCTCATCACAAATGATTGACACGAATATGGCATAGGTCAAACCTACTTTTGCTGTCCCAATTATTTTGTGGGGAGGGTGCCCGAGTTTGTGACTGATGTTTCTTTCTGGTGTTCGAGGGCACTTTCCTGCGCGGGGGCTTTTTCACCATGATCCTTCCACTTCTATGGGGACTTTTCGTTGCGAGAGCCTAGGTTTCTTCCCTTTCGGGCTCACTCTCGGGGCAGTTGACGGGCCCCTGCCCCGACCAAGTTTCGGGGAAGGAACCTGCCTTCCAGAGGTCTTATGGTTCAACGACATCTGGGTTTTTCCCTCTTCCCCTCTCCCTCTCCCTCTCCCATCACCAGTGTCATCAGTCTATCGCCAGTATCATCAGTCAGCCCGCGATTGTTCGTTCGTTACCAGTAGATTTACCGACATCAACACGCAGACACCATTCAGCATCACCACCATGGCACCCGTTGACAAAAGGGACCCGAACACAACGCTCGTGGTCACAACGGTGGTATCCTCCATCTTGGGTGGCTTGGGTTTTTTGCTATTTCTTATATCCTGCGTCCGTTTCTGGGAGGCTGTGAGACGTGATGAGCTGGAATGTGGCTAGAGGTCTTTCGGGCGTTATATGTGCTGCTGCGCTCTACCAGCACCACCCGAGCCAGCAACCCCAAAGGCGGAAAGCGGAGGAGTCGAGGAGACGGAGCTGGACAAGCTCACGCCAGAGGGTAAACGAGCACTGAAAGGAAAAGACAAAGAAGTCGACCCAGAGGCAGAAGTCGACCCAAAGGCAGAAACCGTCCCAGAGGCAGAAGTCGCCCCAAAGGCAGAAGTCATCCCAGAGGCAGAAACCGTCCCAGAGGCAGAAGTTGCCCCAAAGGCAGAAGTCATCCCAGAGGCAGAAGTCATCCCAGAGGCAGAAGTCGTCCCAAAGGCAGAAGTCGTCCCAAAGGCAGAAGTCGTCTCAAAGGCAGAAGTCGTCGCAAAGGCAGAAGTCGTCCCAAAGGCAGATGTCAGAAGAATACGCCTACGAGACCCAAATACAGAAATCAGAGGAATACGCGCACGAGACCCAAAGGCACTACGCAAACGAATCCGTTACGATATAGGAGAAGGCCCCCAGCGAGGGGAGTCATCTACAACAGCTGCTCAGCGTGCTCAAAACGATAATCCTTCTGAGGAAGATTCTTTTGAGGAGGACGAAGAATTACGAGAAGTCCCGCTCCCCCCTGAGTGGGTATGTAGACGGAAGGACAGCGGTAAAGTTTTTATCAACCTCAAGACCGGGAAGGAGACCTATGATGATCCGCGAGGAACACAGGAACAGCTCGAGAACGTATGGCGGCATCCGGGACGTCGTGATTTCCCCCCTGACTGGGACGTATTTTGCGACTCTGCCGGCAGACATTACTATGCCGACTTCTCCAGAAGCGCACCCAGAAGGACGCGGCTGGACCCGCGAGGTGATCGCATTCCAAGAGGTGCTGGGGGAGAAATACTGACGCCGGAACATTGCCACGGTTGGGTGAAGTTGCGGACGCGTGACCACATTCCTTACTACATCAACAAGATCACAGGCGAGAGGTCGTGGGAGGATCCGCTGAAAAGAGAGGGGGGTAGGGGAACACCACCAGTGCCGCCGGAGGATTTGCGCAATTTGCTGAGTTTGAAGAGGGTTGGAAACGCGCCTCGCGATGTCAACACCAGCACAGGCGGCGAGGAGACGCCGGAGGACCCGCGAGCTGCTTGGCGGGCTCCAGCACATTTTGTGGAGGCATTACAGATGATACCGGATCATTGCCCCGGTTGGGTGAAGATATGGACGGCTGGAAATGTGCCTAAATATATCAACACCGGCACGGGCGAGGTGACGGTGGAGGATCCGCGAGATTAGCTAGCTCCGGGAGCGGCTGCGAGACCACCGCTGCAGCCGGACGAGTTGCCCGGTTGGGTGGCGGTTCAAATGCCCGAGAACGTGCTTCATTATATCAATATCAGGACTGGCGAGCTGGCGGAGGAGGATCCGCGAGATTTGCTGGCTCGAAGAGCTTGTTCTGATCCACTGCGGCCGTGGGTTTGGCCCAGTTCGACGAGGTTCCGGAGGTGTGACGGTACGCTAGCTGGTGCGGGAGCCGGTGAGGGATCCAGTGCTGGAGGGGGTGAGGGATCCAGTTCTGGAGCAAGTGCTAAAGCGGGTGCGGAAATAACACCAATGGAAGTATTGTCTAGCAACATGATGTTCCGGACGCGTGACGGTACGCTAGTTCCAAGCGGTGGTGCGAGAGCTGATGTGGCTTCGGGTTCTGGCGGGGGTGCTGGAGCGGGTGCGGGATCCAGTTCTGTAGCAAATGCTGGAGTGCAGCCAGAAGTTTTGCCCAGGGTAATGAGGTCCCGGGCGCCTGGGGCCCCGCCTCGCTATATCAGGCGTACCAGAGGCGAGGGAGCTGGTGCGGGAGCTGGTGTGGCTTCGGGTTCCGAGGTGGATGCGGGATCTAGTGCTGGAGGAGGTGAGGGATCTGGTACTGGAGGGGGTGAGGGATCTGGTACTGGAGGGGGTGAGGGATCTGGTTCTGGAGGGGGTTAGGGATCCAGTTCTGGAGGGGGTGCGGGATCTGGTGCTGGAGGGGGTGCGGGATCCGGTTCTGGAGCAAATGCTGGAGCGGGTGCGGGAACAACACCAGTGCAGCCGAAGGTGTTGCCCAGCTCAATGAGGTCCCGGACGCCTGGGGCCCCGCCTCGCTCTGTTGGGCGTAGCAGAGGCGAGATGACGGAGGAGGATTGGCGAATTGTACGATCTCTAAGAAATGCTGTGGAGGCAGTAGCACGGCGGCCGGCGTCTTTGCCCCCACTGCGGCGGCCGGTGTCTTGGGCCAGCTCGTCGACGTTCGTGACGTTCGGGACGCGTGAAGATACGCTGGCTCCAGGAGCTGGTGCTGGAGCAAATGGGGGAGGAAGTGATGGAGTAAATGGGGGAGCAAGTTCTGGAGCAAGTTCCGGAGCAAGTTCTGGAACAAGTTCTTAAACAGGTGCAGGATCCAGTGCTGGAGAGGATGCGGACGTGAATGGCAAATCGAATCATGAATGAGGCATGTCTGATTCGAAAAGGAGGGCATTACACAACAGCAGACGACACTTTTGCTCGGCAGTCTTGTTTCAACCCAGCGGTTTTTTCTTTCTTTCTGTAACATGGGGGAGGTATGAAATCATACTGGTTGGTTTGTGTTGATCAGGGGGTCAAGTTGTTGGGGGGAATTAGTGCGAGGAATGTAGATGATGTAGCGATGTAGTTAGTAGGGGTGTGGATGAAGCGTGTAGTTTGTGTTTTACCAGCCCTTACTTGGTTGATGGTGGTGTGTATGTGTATGATGTGTATGATGCGTATTTGTGTTATTTGTATGGTTTTGTTTTAGAGGTATTGGATGCGTTGGTGGGTTTTGAAGGGGTGCTGATTATCTTTAGGCATAAGAGGGTGCTGGCTATGTTGAAAGGCGTGTATATCATTTTGAGAGGAGTACTTATTTTCTTGAGAGGAATGGTAGCTATCTTTAAATGCGTGATTCGGGGATGGCGGTGGAGTAGTAGGTGCTTGGGATAGGGGGGACGGGAGGGATAGGGGAGGTTGGTGTGGTGAACTGGTGGTGGGTGGTGTAGTGGGACTGTTGTTGGGGGTAACTGATGGTTGTTGGTAAGGGTGGTGGTGGTGGTGATGGGTTTTGGTCGAGGATGATGGAGAGGGTGAGTAGGAGGAGGAGGGCGAGATCGAGAAAGAGGTTTAGGGCGGTGGTTGCGAGGCCGATTTTTTGGACCAGGTTTTGGGGTGAGGGGATTTGGGTGGTGGTTTTGGGGAGAGGGAGTGGGTTAGGTGAGGAGGAGGTCTGACTTGTTTGGGCGTGGTAGCCAGAGGCTGGGCGGCCCAGAGGCCGGTGCCGAGGAGGAGGAGGAGGAGGAGGAGGAGGATGGGGGTGGTGAATATTTGGTGGGTGTTTCGGGTTGGGATGGAATGGGTGAGGCAGAGGGAGAGGGCTAGGAGGAGGTGGATGCTGGTCTGGGGGGGTTAGTGAGTGATATATTAGGGATATGAGGAGGGAACTACTTACGGCGATGATGGTGAGGATTGTTGGGGTTGTGGCTAGGTTGAAGACGTAGGTGGAGGAGTAGATGGCTACTGCGGCTAGCAAGACTTGGGCTGGGAGGATCCAGTTGAAGGCTCGGGGGATGTAGAATCTTTCGGGTGTCATTTTGAGGGAGGATTACCCCTGGATCAAGAAGACATGGGAGGGTGAGGTTGATGGTGCTTTAAAACACTTTCGACATTTGCTTCACTTCGCGAACATGAGAATGGCTTCAAATATAAGGCTGGATATTAGGTAGAAGGGGCCAACATGAACCGTTGAAGATGCCCACCATATTCAAGAGAAACTGCGGCTGATGAACTCGAACAACAACATATCGCTGTCATTGGGCTGGCAGACAGGCAGCCACTCCGATGAGATGCTGCTCGATCATGATAGGCGGCATTTCGAGCGCCGCAGAGACGATATGCATTTTACACCTCACAACCCAAAGAGCCAGATTCAAGTGAGTTTTGGGTGGTGAGTGAGGTTGAGAGGAAGTTGGTGTTCGGGAAGCAAGCCACCGGACCCTGGAGGTTGATGTGCTCCACAAAATGTTAGTGTTCCCGCAACTGTTTGCAGCAATGCACTAACACTTTTTCGAGAACAACCCCACCCAATACACTCTTCCACCCCACAAACCGGCGGCCTCTCTCTTCAACACCATCCTTCCTTTTTCATCAGAATGCGGATTGCTTATTGGCAGCGACACCAACCGCACAGCCGGTTCGACCATCAGCCTCTCACAACCTGACATCGCGGGCTTGGAGCTGTCCGGCAGAGGTGCTGCGCCACGATGACTTCCAGACTCGCTGCCAATTTCAACCATTGTCTTTTTCATTTTCAGAAGAAGCGAGTATAGGTCTATCACTTGCACATATCGCCGAATCGAGTAGACCGTCTTCTACAATTCATCACGGCAAGGCATTTTCGCACAGCAAACCTCGTTCCTTCTCGCGACCTGCAAGAAGTATGCCGTTCTACCGAGTAAACACCGGCCAGTGACTCACCGGAGTGATTCCAGGGTCTCTTTAGTGGTCGTACCTGCGTTAGCGGGCTCCGATGGCCCCCAAAAGCGGCTTA